GACAGAGAGAATGAGATACAGAGAGCATGAGAGGGAGGAGGGTCAGAGGGAGAAGCAGACTCCCTGCCGAGCAGGGAGCCCGATGCGGGACTCGATCCGGGGACTCCGGGATCATGACCTGAGCCGAAGGCAGTCGCTTAACCAACTGAGCCACCCAGGCGCCCCGGGCTCTGCTTTCTACCACTCCACTAAAAGTAATTTTTTATGTGGCCCAGCGACTGTCCTATAGACTAGTCCAAAAAGGACAATGTATTAGTTAGCTATTTCTGTATAACAAACCACTCTAAAATTTAGTGACTTAAAATAATGTATTATTTCTTCAGAGTCTACAGGTTGGCTGAGAGGTTCTGCTGGTCTTGTCTGGACTTACTAATGTGTCCCAGTGAGCTGGCAGGTTGTCTGGAGGCTGGCTAATCTAGCACGGCCCCACTTGGGGAGATTCAGCCCTACTCCCTATGGTCTCTCACCATTTATCAGGCTATATACCATGCTTATTTCCATGGCAGTAACAAGGTCCCATAAAAAGAAGTGGAGCACATTAAGGCCTCTTGAGGGTTGGACTTGAAACTGGCATGATGTTACTTTTTACCACTTTCAGTTAGACAAAGCAAGTACAAGGCCAATCTACTTTAAAGGGATGGGAATTTGTTTCATATTCTTCTTCACCTAGCTTCTTAAATGTGCATATTCCTAGGAATTCTTCTTATCCTTTCCTTTTTTGCCTCACAGACCTCATCTCTTTTTACAGGACGAACTGTGTCCTATATATCTGTGAAATATGAATCAGCAACTGGCAAACTAGGCTAGCCTCTGGCCTGTGTTTATATGGCCTACTAGATAAAAAAAATTTTTTTTTTTTTTGCATTTTCGAAGGGCTTAAGCAATCATCATCAACAACAGCAAAACAGAGGGGCATGCAACAAAGACTGCATGTTATCTGGCCCTTTACAGGAAAAGTTGCCCCTCCACTCCCACCCCTGATGTAAATCAGTATTTCATTACTGATTTTGCTTGGGCTTTAAACTTCTATCTCCCCTCCCCACGTACAGGATATTTGTTTCCTGGTTATTTGTAGGTATCTTTTTTTTTTTTTTTAAGATTTTTATTTATTTATTTGACAGAGAGAGAGAGAGAGACAGCAGGAGAGGGAACACAAGCAGGGGGAGTGGGAGAGAGAGAAGCAGGGAGCCCGATGTGTGGCTTGATCCCAGGACCCTGCATGACCTGAGCCGAAAGCAGACGCTTAACGACTGAGCCACCCAGGCATCCCCTATTTGTAGGTATCTTAAACTCAGTAGGTACAAAATTGAGCTTATTATCTCTTCTTTAAAATTTATTCCTCATTGTGATTCCTTATTTCCTCTGTACTTTACATAGTCTGGTCTGTGCCAGAAACTTGACAATTTGGCCAGATTCCTGTCCTGTTGTTTTTACCTTCTTAGTAACTCCAAAATCTGTTTCTTCATTTCTTCTTCCCTTTGGTTAATTTGGGCCTTCAGTTCTCTCCCTCAGTTCAGTATCACCCTTACTGCCTCACCCTCCACATGCTCTTTGTGTGGTCTAATCATCTTCTCTTGCACGTACAGTTTATTTGATGTATTGGGACTGAGAAATGACTGTTCGCTTATAGAGTGCCATTTTGGTTTGGCTGTCTGCTGTAGGCCAAAGCCAGAATGTAGGGGAATAAGGAGCAAGTAGGTGAGGAGAAAGAAGCAGGAGTGAATTCAAATTCTTTTAAGAGAAAAGAGAAATGGAATTAGGTATTTGGTTATTTTTAGAAAATACATTCTTGGTTTGTCTCCCTCTCTGATTTCTTCCCATTCAGTTTTCCCTCCCTCCCCCTGTGGTCCTCTGCTCTGCTCTGTTCATTATGTTCCACATATGAGTGAAACCATATGGTAATTGTCTCTCTCTGTTTGACTTATTTCACTTAGCATAATATCCTCCCATTCCATCCATGTAGATGCACATGAGAGACTCTGGACTCTGGGAAACAAACTGAGGGTTACAGAAGGGAGGGGGCAGGACGATGGGGTAACCGGGTGATGGGTATTAAGGAGGGCATGTGTGGTGATGAGCACTGGGTGTTATATGCAACTCATGAATCATTGAACACTACAACAAAAACTTAAGATGTATTATATGCCGGCTAACTGAACATAATAATAATAAAAAAAAAGAAAATGCTTTCTGGGCGCCTGGGTGACTCAGTTGGTTGAGCGACTGCCTTCGGCTCAGGTCATGATCCTGGAGTCCCTGGATCGAGTCCCGCATCGGGCTCCCTGCTCGGC